GGTAATTAGGAAAAAAAAACTTTCTTGTAACATGGCTATCCCAACAAATACCACAATGATAGAAAAGTGATATGTGTCATTGTGTTATTGGCTGGGAATAACACTTATTATCTCATTACATGAGAGTTTCTCTCCTAATATAGGGGAATTATTCATTTGGTGCGTATAAGGACGTATTTTGTAGTAGTTGGATGATAATGCCCTTATTATTATTTTTTTTTTTATAGAGTAATGCTATTTAGAGTAAGTCCAGCATTGTTGGTTTGCCCGGGCAGCAGGGGGCTTAGGCCCATCTTTTGGCTCCAGCGCACAAAGGCAAGACTAGGTAATTGATGGGGGCCACAAACCTGGGCAGGCCTAAAGGCAAATCTTGCCTGGGCTCTTGCCTAGGTTTGCTGATGTCATTGACGATGTCAGCAACTAAAAAAATTTAAAAAAAATCGGAAAAAATACCAAAATTTTCAGAATTTATATATATATAAATACCTAGTCTTATTTTTCACTTCTCATGTCAAAATTAATGGTTTAAGTATAAAAAATATAAAATAAATTAAAATAAATAGTAATTGCCCTTGCCATTTGGGGTGGAAATATGCCACGTCACTCACATATGTTTTTGTTTTTTCCTTTTCAAATTAAGTAATTTATATTTTCAACTTTTCTTCTTCTTCGTTGTATCCCTTTGGCTGCCATTCTCCTTTCCTTTTGGCCTTTGGTCATGCTCCTGCGATCTCTAACAATTCTCCCTCCAAAAAGAAAACCAATTCTTTGATTCAACAAACCCAACTGTACAAATCAATTAATCAAGAAAATCCGAATTGATTCTCAAAAATCTTAATGCCTATTTCACTAGCTATCTAGAAATTCCGAATTGATTTTGAGATCTCATATTCTCTGGTCATGTCGCTAGGAATAGGGTATTGCTAGAAAATCTAAATGCCTATTTCACTAGCTATCTAGAAAATCCGAAAATTCGAAAGAATTTTAAAGCCTTGGTGTGTTGCTAGGAATGGGGTATTAGCTTTCCAATCAAATGGGCAATCTGGTGAAGGATAGAAGCCGAACGATTCCCAAAATATGAACTATTTTTATTTTAAAAATGAATGTTCTTCTGAGATGGATTGATGCGATTTGTCAAGTTTCTCACGTGGCTTGGTGGTGCTTGGAGATGTGGCAAGTAGTGCACCGATGTTACTGGATTTGATGGAGGGGGTGTTGGGTAGAGAACGAACCTGCAGCAGGCTACAACGTGCCACGAACCTGCGTATAATTAATTTAATTTTGTTGTTTTTAAGGATTATTAAAATAAAGAAAATAAAAGTAGAATCTACACAACAATATTCATTAATTGAAATGGCATGACCACATCAACTGCTACATAAGGTGGTCAGTTAATGTGATCAATCTTGTATGTCTAAATAACATTACTCTTTTTTTTTAAGAACCTTTTATTTTGAGATGGGTAATAATATACTAAACTCACAAACATTAGACGAATGCTAAAACTCGAACCCAAAACCTTGCCTAATGGAGCAATTACTCCAAACCACTACACTAATGGGTCTTTTGCTCTCATTCATTTTTGGCAAAACGTCACTTTTCGTCCCTGTGGTTTACCACTTTTACCACTAAGGTCTCTGTGGTTTCAATTTGATCACTTAGTCCCTGTGGTTTCAATTTGAAGCAATTAGAGGACAATTCTTAATTTTTATCAAATTCTTCTAACTTCTGTTACTTATTAAGAGGCAATTTGGTCCAAAAATTATTAAACGATTTCTTCCTTTTTAAAATAAACAATATTAATATAAATTAAAGAAAATTACAATTTTAAAATAAATATATAACCTCTCTCCCCTTCTCCTCCTAACCCGACTGCCCAACTAACCAACACCCAGCCAGCTAGCCACCACCTTCCTGTAACCCAACCAACCACCATCACAACCACCCAAGCCCACCCCAAACCAAAATAACCAAATTGTGCCAAAATCAACGAACAATGCTTGCTGGAACTTTGAAATCGTTTAGGATTAAGTTCAAACCAAAATGGGTAAGAAATAGAGGGGGTTTTCTGGGGTTTGCGAGGCTGGGGTTGGTGGGTATGGACTGGAGTTTGGGGTTGGGAGGGATAAGAAATCGAGGGGGTTTCTGGGTTTGTGGGGGGCGGGGTGAAAAACCAGAAGTCTGCAACATTACAGCAAGCATACAGATACACAAGTCTGCAATATTTAATTTATTATTGTTTGCTACAGAATATACAATGTAATACAAAATAGAAACACTGTCAAACTCA